CAAGATTGTATCATCTGCATATCACAAGTTGTTAATGAGTCTTGCTCCAATCCTGAGGCCCCGTTTTCCTTCATATGATGCAGCTTCTCTGATTATTTACGCAGCATACAGATTGAATAAGTATATGAGAGAAGACAACACTGGTGCACACCCTTCCTGATTTAAAAAAAACATTCAGTATCCCCTTGTTCTGTTCAAACAACTGTCCCTTAGTCTGTGTACAGGCTCCTCATGAGCACAATTACATGTTCTGGAATACCCATTTTTCTCAAATGATTAACCAATCATGGGAAATGATTATAGCATTACATAACAGCCAAATTATATTACTGACTTGGTGTAACACTGTAGGATCAGAACTGGATGGATAACTAGGTTGGTGGTTCAAACTCACCAACATCTCTTTGTAAACCCTATACAGGGTTTCTATGAGTCAGAACTGACTCAATGGCACTTAACAACAACAACGTAACTGTCAGTGAGAATCATGGACTAGCCAAATTGACAGAACTGATCAGATGACATTTAACAGCAACAACAACAAAACCTTTACAGGAACAAATCACCAGATATTCTCGTGCAGAGCCACGGGGTGGTTTTCAGCACCTACCTTTTGGTGGACAGCTGAGTGCTTAACTGCATGCACAAGCAGACCTTCTGATTTTGGCTTCTAGTAGCCAGCAAATCTTGGAGCCCCTGGTCTTGCACAAACATGGACCTCTCTTTTACAGATGGTATCTGTCTTCAACCTGTGCAAGCTTGCTGACCTCTGGTAGTGAAATAGTTAAGCACTCAGCTGTTAATCAAAAAGTTGGCAGTTCAAACCCACCTAACAGCTCTTTAAGAGAAAGCCCCCGTGATTACTCCTATAAAGAAAGCCCTATGAGGCAGCTCTGGTAGCATAGTGGTTACGAATCGGGCTGTGAACCTTAAGGTCAACGGTTCAAAACTACCAGCCACTCCGCGCGAGAAAGATGAGGCTTTCTACTCCCGTAAAGATTTACACCCTTGGAAACACTGTACAGGGTTGCTATGGGTCGGAACTAACTCGACAGCACTTAACAACAACATGAGGCAGCTCTACTATGTCACACGGGTCGCTATGAATCAGAATACACTGGAAGGTACCACATATTATGAAAGAGTAATTAGATGTCAGTTTGAGGACTAAGGTGCACCTGACCCAAGCCACGGTATTTTCAATTGCCTCATATGCATGTGAAAGCTGGACAGTGAATAAGCAAGACCATTGAAGAATCTGTGCATTTGAATGATGATATTGATGAAGAATTTGTAAGTACCATGGACTGCCAGAGAATAAACAAATCTGTCTTAAAGGAAATACAGCCAAAATGCACCTTAAAAGCAACAATGGTGAGACTCCGTCTTTCATTCTTTAGACACATTGTCAGGAGAGACGGGTCCTTGGAGAAGGAAATGATGCTTGGTAAAGTTGGAGGGTCAATGAAAAAGAGGGAGATCCTCAACGAGGCAGATTGACACAGTGGCAACCACAATGAACTCAGATATGACTCTTGTGATGGTGAAAGGGGACTGGGTCGTGTTTTGTTCTGTTGTGCATAGGGTCACTATGAATTAGAACCAACTCGAGGACACCTAACAACAATTAGGTTTACGATCCACCTTACACTGATGGAAACTCATTCACATAACAAATTAAACTATTTCCAAATAACATTACATCTACAAGGATGTTGTTGTTGTTAACTGTCCTGGAGTTGGTTCTGACTCACAGCGACCCTCTCAAGGGTTTCTGAAGCTATAAATCTTTGTAAGCATAGAAAAGTCTTATTTTTCTCCTATGGAGCTTCTGGTGGGCTCATCCCACGTCCTTGTGGTTTGATGTCCCGTGCTTATCCTACTGAGCCACTGTGCTCCCCAGGAAAATGCTACTTTCTCTGTGGGAAAAAGATGAGGTTTTCTGCTTCCATAAAGATTTACAGCCACAGAAACCCTATACAGGGTTGCTATGAGTTGGAATTGACTCAACAGCACTTAACAACAACAAACATCCTACTGGTATTCTCTGCTTTCAACCAAGATCCATCTGACATCAGCAAAGATAGTCCCCATTTCACGTCCTCTTTAGAATCCCGTTTGAATTTCTGGCAACTTCCTTTCAATGTGCCGCTGCAACCATTTTTTGAATAATTACTTTAGCTAGCTATTCTAAGTTCAAGAGCAGTTTTCCTTTATTAGCAGTGGTGCAGTAGGTTAAGCGTTGGGTTGCTAATCACAAGGCTGGTGGTTCAACCCCACTAGCCACTCTTTGGGAGAAAAATGAGGCAGTCTGCTCATGTAAATATTTACAGTCTAGTGGAGTCCTGGTGTGGTGCTGTAGAATCAGCAATGGACTCCTAACCACAAGGTTGGTGGCTTACATCCACCAGTCGTTCTTTGGAAACCCTATACAGGGTCACAGTGAGTCAGGATTGACTCCACTGTACTTAACAACAACAGGTCACCCTAGGAAGCAGTTGCACTCTGTCCTATAGGGGGTCATTTTAGGTCACAACTGACTTCAAGACAGTAGAGTCTAACTTTCTTTGAAATTGATTTGATTCAATTTATTCACTATTGTCTGTCCTGTTATCGTTGTACAAAGGCAGGACTCTGGTCTGTTTTGTTAACTGATGCCTTTCAAGAGCATACAGTAGACACTAACTGAGTGGGTAAGAGGACCAGCCCTCTCTCAACTTTCTCTGGACAGTCACAGTACTTAAGCGGCTTTCATTCTTCCATTCAGTTCTTCACTGGGCTGTGTCAGGCACACAGGAAGGCGAAGTTCTCAGTAGGCCCCTGCTTAGTTCTTATCTCTGCTCCCTCGCAGGTGACGTCGTGTCCTGCAATGGCCACGGCCGCCTTCCAGCAATCCCCGCTGCCACTGCGTGACTCCCTCAAGACCTCACACTTTGCGCTGGGGCCCGACGCGCGACTGCACCAGGGCACCATGTACTCCACGTCGCGCCGGGACTTCCCAGCCTACCCAGACGCCCCCCGCACGCTTCTGTGCCGCCAGCCGCCTCGCGCGCCTCTCTTCCAACAAGATAAGCACTGGGCGCTGGAGGAGCTCGTGTCGGAATCCCACCGCATGTTCCAGCCGCTCCCGCCCAGGGCCACTGCACACACGGAGCCGGCGCGAGAGCGCGCGCTCGCCATGCAGGCCACCAACCTGCGCATGCACGCGGACGCCCAGGCCGGTGCCGGCGTCTCCAGCGCGCGCGCCGCCTACGGTTGGGCCGAGTTGCCAGCGCGCACCCGTGAGCAGATCCGCGGGGCGCGCTTCATCTTTGCCGGCGACTCTGTGCCGCCTGGCGACCGCGCCAAGCTGGGCATCCCGCCCACTACACACCAAGAGTTCTTTCCTCCCTATGACGCTTGCCTGCAGCCTCGCGTATCCTGCTGCTACCTCGGTGAGCGCGCGACCGACCGGGGCGGGGAGCTGGGGTTTCCGCCCGCTAGGAGCTCTGGTAGCGTAGTGGTTACGAATCGGCCTGCGAACCTTAAGGTCAGCGGTTCGAAACTACCAGCTGCTCCGCGGGAGAAAGATGAGGCTTTCTACTCCCACAAAGATTTACACCCTCGGAAACCCTGTACAGGGTCGCTATGGGTCGGAACCGACTCGATGGCACTTAACAACAACAACAGGAGACATTTGACAACGTCCGGAGACATTTTTTATTTGGCAGGGAGGTGCTACATGGAATGGGTAGAGACTGAAGATGGTGCCTAACATCCACAGTGCACAGGACTGCTCCCACCACAATAATCCAACCCGATGTCAATATTGTTGCTATTGTAGTTAAGTATCATCGTGTTGGTTCCGACTAGCCTGGGTAGGGTTTCAGAGGAGCACCTGGTGGGTTTGAACTGCTGACCTTGTGGTTCGTAGTTCAGTGCTGATCCTACCACGCCACACCAGGAGGGCCAGACAAATCTGCGGACCCTCACCTCAGCCCCTGGTGTAGCTGTGCGAGTCTAAATCAAGTTGATCCCTCCCAGCCTGTTTCCTCATCTGCAAAACCGGTGCAATAGAGAACTCCAGTTCTGTGAGTCCTCCGGTGGCGTGGCAGGATAATGCGCTGGACTGCAAGGTCGGTTTGAACTGCAAGGTCGGCGGTTCAAGCCCACCAGACCCTACACAGGGTCTCTAACGCATCCGAACTCTTTGGCAACACTTAACAAGGACAACAAGAAGCGCTGTGACTCCAGGGATTTCCTGTCGGGCGTCACCAGCTGGTTGGTGTTCTGCCAAGCTGGACTCAGGAACTGCTCACACCCGGCTGTGACTCTTAGTTCTAGCTCCAGACTTCTGTGATTTTTGGCAAGTCATTTAGCTTCTCTGAGCATGAGAACCTCTGTCAAACGGAGGAAAGGACCCAAGCCTCGAAGATGGAGGGGGAAAGTTAATGACACTGATACCTGGCCTCATACTTGGACGTAATTGTTGTTGTTGTTAGGTGACATCGAGTCGGTACCGACCCATAGCGACCTTATGCACAGCAGAACAAAACACTGCCCAATCCCGGGCCAACCTCACTACTGTTGCCACGCTTGAGTCCATCGATGCTGCCACTTGGCCAATCCATCTTGTTGGGGGTCTTCCTCTTTTTCTCTGACCCTCCACCTTACCAAACATGATATCCTTCTCCAGCGACTAATCCCTCCTGACATTATGTCCCAAGTATGAGAGATGAAGTTTGGCTATTTAGGGTATTTTCCGGATAGTCCTCTGGTTAGACCTCCAATCTCTCCTTCGCCAATCTGAGATGGCAAACCATGATCCCACGCTAACTCGTTCTCTCCCTTTCCCCCCACTGTACTTACCCTCAGGAGGCCCTAACCCCCTCAAGGGGGATCACAGGAGTCAGGACCATGGGACCTCCTACAAAAAACAGTTCCAGGCCTTGCCAGGGCCACCCGCCTTGATGTGTAAGAGGGTAAATTGAGGCCAAGCTGGGCTGCCGGGGAGGGCCGCTCTGGGTTGTCCTGGCTACCCCAACGCTGTTTGTCTGCAGGCTTCTTCCAGTGTGGAATTGGGAGACTGTAAGATTGGTTATGGGCCCATGTGCTCTGAACAGAAAAAGGCCTACAGGCCCCAGGGTTTGCCAGCCAACAGGTACAAAGGGAAGTAGTTTCCCACAAGACGGGCAAAGTGGGGTGTATCTCGGCGGCATATGAGGTGCATTTCCATCTATCCGGGCAAGAACCATTCCTATGGCACATCTTCCTCCATGAGCGCTCCACCTCTTGGCTATTTGACAACCTTCCCTCCGGCCCCGCCCCTTTCTATATCCGCTGTGACCCAACTCTAACCCCTTGACCTCGGTCAGACTGTAGCTCCACCCCTTGAGCAGAGATCCTATCTGGTTTCGCCATTAGACTCATCTGGCACCGCCCCTGGCCTCATAGCCAGCCTGGCTCCGCCCCTCCTCCGGGCTCCGCACCTACCAAACTTCAGCCCTGCCCAGGCTCCATCCCTAAGGCCGCCCTCCCGCACGCTCGGCTGGGTGGCTCCGCCTCTCTCGCAGGTATAACAAGGCCCAGGCTGCAGCCCAGATCCATTGTGTGAATGTTCATTCTGGAGATGGCCTCTTCCACAATGTCACTACCAACGCTAGGCACTTATATGCCCGGGAGCTAGGTGAGATCCCACAACTAATCTCCGTTCCCTTGCCCTCCGTGCCCTTTGGCCCAGAACCCTCAGTACCGACTTTGTCTTTGGCAGAGCCTTTTGTTCTTCACCACGACCGGACTCCTCAGTCGTACATCCTGGAAGGGAACCAACCCCCTGGTCCGGGCAACCTTACTACATCCACACAGTTCTTCCACGGCCAGGTCAGCGGAACAAGAAGGTGGCAGGGTCCAGCGGAGAAAAGGGCTTCCCAGCAGAGGCAATTTGTTCTTGTTGATTGCCGCCGAGTCAGTTCCGACTCATAGCAACCCTATATAGAGTTTCCAAGGAGTGGCTGGCGGGTTTGAACCGCCGACCTTGCAGTTCAAACTGACCTTGCAGTCCAGTGCATTATCCTAGAGGGGGCAATAGCAGATACAAAGGCCCCGGGTGAGAATGAACTTGGCAGGTAGTTCTCCTGGGCCTTCGTGGCTCTCTCTGTAAAATAGGGACAGAATACCAACTCCCAACGTGATCACAGGGGACCTAAGAGAGGAGGACTAGGGAGCTATCCGAGGTCACACAGGGCCTACCTAAGCCTCGGGACATTCAACCATGTGGTCCTACAGCCACCACCCCTGACCCGGCCTTCCTGCCGCCACTTGGCCCACGAGAAATTGCAGAGTCACGTGACTCTAGGGGAGGAGTCGCTGTTCGGACACTTCTTCCAAACCTCAACGGCATCGGACTACCTCGCCCCAGAGATGACGCAGAGGCCAAAGAAAGCTCGCAACCTCCACTTGAAACTGAGCAACCTGTTTACTGGCGGTGGGTGTGGCCACGCCCCCTTGGGGAAGCCCCGCCCCGCCCCTACCTTAGCGCAGACCTTGTCCCCAGCTGGTGCCACCCCGCCAACCACTGACTCTGGCTCTGCCTCCTAAGGTTCCAGAGCCCAACTGGATTCTATAAGGATCCTTCGCCCTTGTGGCTCAATGACTTAAGCGTGGGCTGCTAACTGAAGGGTCCGTGGTTCAAACCCATTAGCAACTCCGCAGGACAAAGACGTGGCAGTCTGCATTGGAAACCCTATGTTGTTGTTGTTGTTATGTGCCGTGGAGTCGGTTCCGACTCATAGCGATCCCGTACAGGGTTTCTGAGGCTGTAAATCTTTACGGGAGCAGAAAGCCTCATCTTTCTCCCGCGGAACAGCTGGCAGTTTGGAACTGCTGACCTTGAGGTTAGCAGCCCGATTCGTAATCACTACTCTACCAGAGCTCCTTTGGAAATCCTATGAAGCAGTTCTAATCTGTCCTATAGGATCGCTATGAGTTTGCCCTGGGACAACCCCATTCTCTGGTGACCGTGGCCGGGATCCTGGTACTGCTCTCTGTTCTCTCGCAGAATGCTCCCCACCCTTAGTCTTGTGGACCCGTTCCCTTGGTTCTACTTGGTCTCCCTTCACCCCACAGCTCAGTCACTCCCAATCAAATGTTCAGAGTCAGATTTTGTAACCACGAACCAGAAGATGCTGACGCCACACAGACCAGCTCCGGCTCACCTGACTGAGAAACAGCTACAGCGGGTGAGAGAGGACAGAGGGGCCACCCCCTGACCAAGTCAGCCCCATATCAGAGTAGGGTCACTAGGGCTATCACAGGGCACTTAAAGTGTCCCTCAGACTCGGAAGTCGTGCAGAGCCAGTTAGGGTCACCGCAGACACCGGGTCACCTCCATGTCATCATCCTAGCTCAGCTCACAGTCTGCTCAAGGACATCTTTGTTCACTGACAGCAGGATTATCGCAACTTTACCTCCCAAGCTGAGGACTATCAGGGTTTTTTAGAGTCACCCCAGTCCTGTGGCCACTCAGGGTCACCCCTGGTTTTGCTCCATCTTCTCATTCAGCCCTGGAGTCAGACCAGCCAGGGACCCAGTTAGCGGCCAAATCTGGCCCAGCCTGTCCCCAGCTTTGATGTTCCCAGGGTTTTCAGGCACCACAGGTGGGTCAGTTGCTGTCCAGGCTGCCTGACCAGGTTCCTCACCCTGTCTCCACAGTGTAAGTACAGCCACATTGAGCCCCCACTGGGCAGACAACGCATCTTCTCAACCCGCTATAAGGAGCAGTTTCCCTCCAAGTACCAGGGCCCAGTGACGTTGAGTGGTGGCAGCTCCCAGGAGAGCCACATGCTGCTGAACACACTTCATCAGTTGGGCTGCAAGGAAACGAAGGACCCTCTGGCCCCTCAGGCTCCCATCTACCCATGCCACAGCAAGCAATAAATACCACCTTGACACTATCCCAGGTTCCTTCCCTAACACTTTCCATCACCCAGCCTTTCCAGGCTTTTAGGGGCAGGGGCTGCCTTCATGGAGAAAGCTCTGCATGCTCAGGCATGTCTGCAGACCCTGGGACCACCACCCTCTGGCAGGAAGGCCATTCCGGCAAAGACTCAGCAGTGAGACTTGGTGTTAGGCAGCAGACAAGAGGTGAGCACTGGTCAGGAATAGTCTGTCATGGAAGGTGAGAATTCTACCACTGTGTGACCAATGCAACTCTGTTGTTGCTGTTGTTAGGTGTCGTCAAGTGAATTCTGACCTATAGTGACCCTATGTAGAACAGAATGAAACACTGCCCAGTCCTGCACCATACAATTGCTGCCCATTGTTGCTGCCCTTATGTCAGTCCATCCCATTGGCTGTTCATCCACTTTACCAAGCATGATGCCCTTCTCCAGCGACTGGTCCCCCTGATAATATGTCTGAAGTATGAGAGACAAAGTCTGGTCATTTTGGCTTCTAAGGAACCTTTCTGATTGTATTTCTTCCAACACAGATTTGTTTGTTCTTCTGGCAGTCCGTGGTACCTTTAATATTCTTCTCCAACACCATAACTCAAATGCATCCGTTCTTCTATGGTCTTCCTCTGTCATTAGGTTGTTATAAATCATAAATGCACACACCTGTCAGCACTTCCTTTCTGAGGATGAAGATGAGGAAGGGAGAAGAAGACAAGGCAGGGCAGGGTGGCCACTGCTAAGAAGCTGAGTGTTAAGTGCCAGCAAGTCGATTTTGATTCATAGCAACCCTGTATGGGGTTTCTGAGGAGTGGCTGGTGAATTTCAACTGCCGACCTTGTGGTTCAAACCATCATTGAGGCCCAGTGCATTGTCCCACAGCACCACTTGGCTATTAGGACTGAAGAAGCCTTCATGGTGCAACAGTTAGGCACTTGGATGGTAACCAAAAGACTGGTGGTAGTTACAACCCATCAGTGGCTCCATGGGAGAAAAGACCTCGTGATATGGTCCCAGAAAGATTGTTGTTGTTGTTAGGTACCATTGAGTTGGTTCCAACTCATAATGACCCTATATGCACAACAGAACGAAACACTGCCCCTGCTCCCTCCTCACAATTATTAATGCTTAAGTTTATTGCTGCTGCTACTATGACAATCCAGCTCGTTGGGGGTCTCTCTCTTTTTTGCTGACCCTCCACTTTACCAAGCATGATGTCCTTCTCCAGGGACTGGGTCCTCCTGATAATATGTCTGAAGAATGAGAGATAAAGTTTCACCATCATGGAGTCTAAGGAACATTTTGGTTGTACTTCTTCCAACACACATTTGTTTGTTTTTCTGGCAGCCCATGGTTTCTCCAACATCACAACTCAAATGCATACATTCTTCAACTTTATTCAATGTCTAACTTTCACATGCATATAATGTTATTGAAGAACAAAGATGTCAGCTTGAGGACTAAGGTGTGCCTGACCCAAGCCATGGTATTTTCAGTAACCTCGTATGGATGCAAAAGCTGGACAGTGAATAAGGAAGATCATAGAAGAATTGATGCCTTTGAGTTGTGGTGTTGGAGGAGAATACTGAAAGTACCATGGACTGCCAAAAGAACCAATAGATCTGTTTTGGAAGAAGTGCAGCCAGAGTGCTCCTTTGAGGCCAAGATGGCCAGGTGGCATCATTGATGGCCTCAAATGTGGCAGCGGTAGTGAGGTTGGCCCAGGATGGGACATTGTTTTTTTCTGCTGTGCATGAGGTCGCTATGAGTTGGTTCCAACTCCATGGCACCTGACAACAACACCAACAAATAATGTTATTGACAATACCATAGTTTGGGTCAGGCACACCTTAGTCCCCTATAGAGCTGGTCTACTCTGTCCTGTAGGGTTGCTATGAGCCAGAATTGGAGGGAAGGCACACAACAATAGTAGCACTCAAGGGTATAGGTGTCTAATCAGGAACAGAGTGATGAAGGGCCCAGATGAGGAGGGTGGAATGGGTCTTTGAGACTGTGGTTGACAGGGTTCAGCAAGTATATTAAGGACCTTGGACAGCACCCCAACTCAATGCCCTGGCATTTGAAGTGGCCAGCACCAAGATTCCAGCTTTTGTCTGGAATAGAATGAACCTTGGTGGCTGTGAGCTTCTGGTGTTGGGGAATAAATCTGACTTAATGGATCTAGAATGAAACCTTCAAATGTCAAGATTCTCAACTCAACCGGCCACTAGAAGCCAATCTCATACCCAACCAGGAGCCTTTTCCCCATGGGTTGCCATTTCCACAGGAAGAAGTCCCGTTTCCAGCTGTAATGGGGACAAGATGGACATCTTGGTAGTGTCCATGTCTGCAGGCTGCAGAGCCCCTCTTCTGCTCGTGCCTACTCTAAAGACGGTGTGTGGACACTCTGGATTTCTTAGTCTTGGTGCTATTGATGCTCTGGGCTGGATAAGACTTTGCTATGGGAGCTGTCCTGTGCATTGTAGAATGTTTAGCAGTATCTCTGGTCTACACACTAGATTCCAGTAGCATACTCTTCCCCTCGTTGTGACAACCAGAAATGTCCACTGAAGGGAAAAAGTGCCCCTGTTTGGAGAGCAGCTGCAATAAACTCATTCTAGAATTATTGTCACAACAAAAATCAGGTTCTTCTGATAAATCTAGTCTTCTCATTGCCTAGACAGCTAGAACACAAAGATTGCTCCCTTTTGCCTTGCCTGCCAGGAAGCGCGGCTTGCTTTGGTGTTCAGTTCCACGTGGCTCCAGTCATAGGGTTTACTTGTGCTCCCGACTGGTTCCAGGAATGGTTGAAAGCAGCCCTATTGTCACATGAGCTATAATGGGGAGGAGTTACAAGGACACAGATTTCAACTCAACTTGAAATATTTCCTAACGGAACTGACAAGGCCTGGGTTGGGTTGGTAAAGATGAAGAGCAACTTTATTGGAAATGTTTACTCAGTCCAGAACGACACTGCATCAGGATGAATTTGAATGTATTTTATCGATTTATGTTTACCCCTTCTATAAAGACCCCCCTTCTCAAAATCAAATATATTTCAGGTGCTGTGGGTTAATGCACCAGACTGCAAAGCCATTTGAACTGCAAGGTCGGTGGTTCAAGCTCACAAGCTGCTCCTCGGAAACCCCATACAGGGTTGCTATGGGTCGAAACCGACTCAAGAGCACTTCACTACAACAATAAAAAAAGAAAAAATCTTATGACATAAGATGAATGATTCCTGGTGTGCAGTGCTTAAGTTTGGCTGCAAACCAAAACGTTGGCAATTTAAACCCACCAGTTGCTCTGCAGGAGAAAGGATCTGGCGATCTGCCCCTGTAAAGACTTCTTGGCCATCAAGTTGGTTCTAACTCAAAGTGAACCTGTATAGAGTTTCTGATGGTGGGTTTGAACTGACAAACAGAAGTCCAGTGCTTATCCTACAGCACCACACCAGAGCCCAGAAATCCCTATGAGACAGTTCTACTCTCTCCTAAATAGGATTTCTATGGGTTAGTATTGCTCCATAGCATACAACAACAGCAATTTAAGATGGGTAGAATAAGATGGTCAACAGAGGTTAACCTTTTAGAAGAAAGCTACTTTGTCCACAGTAAGCATCACCCAGAAGCAGAACTCAGATTTGCCATTTCCCTGCATTTCTGTCATTAGGCATTACCACGAGGCAAAGGGTCATACTCTGATCCTCAGTTTTCTTATTTATAAAATACAACTATCATAGTTCCTCTGTGGTTACAAGGATGAAATAAAGTGTGTTTGTACCATGCCCCTGACTCTGGGATGGAGTTCATATATGGTACGTGATATTTTGTTAATATCTTCGGTCACTTGTGTTGCAATAGAAGCCTAATTGTAACTAGCTGAAACAGAAAGGCGTTTTACAAAGTCCTGAATTAGGTCGCCGGCGGTTGTGAGCATCGGGACTGTCTCTTTCACCTTTTCTCAGTCCTGTGTCCTTCCATGTGGCGGCAAAGGAAGCTGACGGGGAGCCAGTGTTTGTGACTAAGTCTCCAAAGGATGCCCCCTACAACATATCAGAATTTAAGGAACATATCACAATTTAAGGAGCATTCTGATTAGCCCATATGAACCACATGCCCAGCTGCAAGCCCATCAGTGTGCCCCGGGGGGGGGGGGGTGATGAGTGAACAGTGTGATTGGATGGCTCTGTTCACGAGTCTAGCCTTGAGAGATAGGGTTCTGGAGACCTCACCCTGACGTGTGGCATCTTGATAGGGCCCCGTCTCTAACAACAGATCTGTGTCTGCCCAGCCCCTTAACATTTATCTTACACCAGGTTGCAATGCACAAGACCTCTGAAAGTGTTCAAGAGCAAAGATGTCAGTTTGAGGACTGAATGTGCTTGCCCCAAGTCATGGTGTTTTCATTAGCCTCATATGTTTGTGAAAATTGGACCATGAATGAGGAAGACCATAGAACAAGTGATGCATTTGAATTACAGTGTTGGAGAAGAATATTAATGGTACCATGGAATGCTAAAGAATAAACAAATCTGTGTTGGACAAGAAGTACAATAAGAATGTTCCTTAGAAGCCAAGATAGCCAGACTTAACGCTCATACTTCGGACTTATTATCAGGAGGGACCAGTCTCTGGAGAAGTGGATGCTTGGTAAAGTGGAGGGTCAGTGAAAAAGAGGGAGACTCTCAACCATACGGATTGGCACAGTGGCAGCAATAGTGGGCTCAGGTGTTGCAGTAAATGTGACCTGTGTTTTGTTCTATTGTACATAGGGTGGCTATGGGTGGGAACCGACTGGACAGCACTTAACAGCAAGAAAGTTACAATCCTGAGGGTGGAGACGCTCAGCTCATATGCTCACCCCATGAGAGCAATTGCTACCTTTGCAGACAGGGAATGTTCAGTATTTGAGCGTCCTAAGGTATCAGGCTCCCCTAGTCATCTGATAACCCCATTCTTATCTCCTACCTCATTGCCTGCAGCT